ACACCCCACTGGTAGAGAATACCAAAACTCCAAAGAAAAATTTAGAGGTGTAAGGGCAGTGCCTTTTAGTGGGTGTTTTGTTTTGATGGGTGGTTTTTTTTTTTTTTTTTAGTATAAAATTTCTGTTAAAATGAAAAGCTATTTTTCCCTGAAAAATGATTGTTGTTGCTGAAGACAAGGTTTGTAAAACTGTACTGGAATCACCCTCAGAGATAGTTATTGTCTCCATAGATGGCAGAAAGTTTCATTAATGAAAACAAATACCTATATGTGATTTTAATTTTCATTAGCATGTTTTCTTTTTCTGGGTCAGAGAATACACTGGGTGAATTCTCAGATGAAGTGAATTTGGAAGCTATTGGGCTTTTCGTATTTTCACCTGGGGTATGTACATTTTAATTCTGCACATAAATTTCATGCTTCAATTCTTATGATTCATAAACATGTTTCTTTCCCATGACGATATAGGACTGGACAGTGATTTAATGTTTCACGGACCAATTAAAAGTGATGAACTAATGTTTATTTGTTCTAGAATATCAAAAAGGCAGCCTATAATAAATCTGTTGTTAAAAAGCAGAAAAAATAACTAGCTTTAGTTATTTTCCCCATTTTGCCCATCACTGTGACTTCTACACTATTGTCTGTCTGTCTGTCTGTCTGTCTATCATCTATCTATCTAATTCTCCAATGAAACTTACCAATCACTTTATGCCCAGAGTTTTTGGAAGAAACTGAGGCAATCATACAAGAAGCATCACATGAGACTAGATATGTAAACAGTGAACTAAATCCCACAGCATGACCCTGTACACAGTGCCATATGAACAAAAGGCAAGAGGCAATATTTGTTCCTTGAAAGAAAAAAGCCTGCAATGAACGAACTGCACATTTGAGCTGCACATTGAATTATGAGCAGATATTCACCTTGTAGGTAACTGATATTATGGAAATACATTGAGGAGAGCATTTTGGAATGTTACCATGGAAAAATAGTGTTATAAATGTCATGAATTCTCCTATGACAATTAGGGTAAAATAATTATCACCTCTGTTTCTTGATCCACGTTAAGTGTGACTTGACCTACTTAGAAAGAAATAAGATATTCCATTTTAGCCTCCTAATGCATTTGGATATTATAAACTATGAAATATCTGGTTCACAGATGAGAAATGGCCTCTGGTGCTTGGGTTAGAGTTATTGCCACTTGCCTGTGCTTGCTGAGTAATCTGTTGCCTGCTGGAAGGCTAACTTGTATAACGCCTGTGGTTCTCTGAATGATTGGCTATGGACATTTGCCAAGACATTGTCCTTTAACTGTAGGTGGCAAACTATTCAGGATGCTGTGCAGCTTAATCTGGTGTCTTGTGGAGACGCTCACTTGGTCTTTGACTTTTGACAGTGTTATAGGCTGTGAGATTTGTAAGATGCAAACTTTGAAATTTTCCTGGTGACGACAGCCAATGAAACCCATCAGAACAGGCTGGCTGATTTTTCTGCCTCTAGCTTTATCAAAGCTGGCATTCATCAGACAGATCTCGGCAGTGCACACTCTGGATGGAATGTATCTGTGGATGAATGAGAGTCTGCACCTGGATCTCTCTTGATTTGGTGGTGCTGACAAGCTGTCTGTCTTTTGCTGCAGTATGCATTTTGCTTTTAAATGAAGATGTTACATGAATGTGTCTAGTGAGCTTCTGATTTTTTTTTCAAATATGTGAACTCAGGCAATCCTTGCTTGCCTGTGTGAAATGTATCAGAAAAGTGAGCGTGACTTGTCTGCATACCGTTTCTCAAATGATCTGAACTAATAGAATTGCTGGCTATGGTTAAGTTATTGAGTTAGAGATGCCGACTGGCTAGAAAAGCCTTAATAACAGATTCCTGTTATGGGTAAGAGAAACAACAAAGATGGAGTCATATTTGCATAACTTCAAATCAGTAAAGAAAAGCATGTATGAACAAGGGGAGTCTACGAATATGACACATACAATAACCTTTAGAAATTGTGTTGAAGTTGTTCATTGACAGTTTTGTACATATATATAATGCAGTCTAGTGACTCTCATCCTCTCTTACCTCTTTCCTGGCCCCATTCAACCTCCTACAAATCCCCTTCTCCATTCTCTTTTGATTGTTTGCTTGCTTTGTTTATCCAGAGCTGTGTGTGTGGTTATGGGTTTGGAACTATTCATTGGAGCCTGGTTGGGTTCACAGTGGATATCAAGTTTAAACTTCTAGCATCTATTCTTAACCAAGATGTCAGAAGAGAAGGTAGGACCCCATGATACTCACATCCCATGACTAACTGCTGTAACGATCAGTCTTGTGCAGGCCCAGGGCAGGTAGCTACTGCTGTGAATGTTCACTTGTGCAATCACTCCATCATGGCTCAAGGAGGGCATTTCACAGCTCTGCTCTGTGTCTTGTGACCCATGAATCCCTCCCAGTCTCTTTACTACCACATTCACCAAACTTAGTGGGGGCGGTATAAATGTCTTGCTTAGGGCTGGGTCTTCAACTGTACTTATCCTCAGCAACTGGAGCAGCCACGAGTCTCCTCATTCACTACTGTCAAGGCTGAGACTAGTACCTGTCTATATGTATAGGAATAAATATTCAGATGGTGGTTGCAAAAGTAACAGGATGCCCTCTAGAGACTTTGCCTTCCCCAGCCATGGGTTTTGACTGTGTTTTAGTATCAGATGTGAGTAATGTACAGTGGATTATGTCTCAAATTCAGAGAGCAGTTAGTTGCCTTCTAACAGTGATACCACTGTTGATAATCTTGCAATGTAGTTTTCTCTGAGAATTTTGGTTTAGGAGCTTACCAAGAAGAGCATTTTGTTTTTAAGCTTGCCATAGCTGGGTTTTTTTAACTTTGCTAATTATTTAATTATTCAGTAATGTTAAGGTTCTGTTTTACTTCCCAGAGGGTTGAGAATGATGAAGTATAAATTTATGAGTAAGCATTATGATGGATGAATGTTTCCTTATACCACTGATTCATAAATCAGAATGTTCCAGATAAGAAGTACAAAAAGTTAATCATAATTTTTACCATTTTAAGGATTTTATCATATTAACAGGGACTACTATATCAGGTTTTCTTTTGGGCCCTCTACTGTCTAGCTATTGGTTGTTCAGACTTTTATTAGACCAGTCATAAACAAATGAAACACATATTTGCCTATTTAGAGTAACATTCTGCAATATAATATATCAGTATATCCATCTTCTCTTAAAAACCACATAATTTAAGATAATTCATATTTTTAAATGATAGAGGGGCAGTTGCATGTTATGCAATCCATTAGAAATTCTCAAAAGATTTTTTTTTAAATTTCAGTGTCCACCTTTCACAATTTTCAGATTAATATAAATCATAAATTAACCATGAACTGGCTACATCTCTACTATCTTGGAAATCGGATTGCATTTTATTCTTATGGCCAATTTGTCTCTCCTAATAAATGATTCCATTTCTTCATGAGGAGTTTATCTAGGACTCAGAAGGGAGCCCATGGTAGATGACATTTATGTTATCTCAGGCTTATCACAATGAATCTTACATAATAATCCTGGCATTTTTTTCAACAATGTATTCTTCCCCATTTTTGTATCTGTGACTGAAACCTTAATCTTTTCCATGGATTTCCTATTATAAAAAACTGATTTTGTTTTATGTGAGATTCTTTTTCAGAATATCCTTTTCATATCACATGATAATCTACGAAAACTATCTAACATACTTCACAGTTTTCATAATACTTTCTTTACTATAAATCAACTTTTATGACAGCCATTTGTTGGGTTATATTATTTATGATTTATTAAAGCTTGCCTGAGGATTCAGAAAGCAAAGTCAGCCACAAGCAGTAGAAGCCAGGCACAAATCTTTAATCCCAACAGCCAGAAGCTAGGAGGTGGTGGTACATACCTTAACCCTAGGACTCAGGTTTAAGAGGTAGAAGGATCTCTGTGAGTCCAAGGTCACCCAGATCTGCACAAGATTGTATCAGTGTAAAGAGAATTATAGGTCACACATTTAATCCCAGAACTCATGAGAAGAATGTAAAACAGGAGCAAGAGTCAGTATCAGGCATTCATTCTCCAGCCACACTGAGGAGAGGCAGCAGCAGCAGCCCATTCAGCCTGAGGTATTATAAGAGCTAGTGGCCCTCTGCTTTGCTTTGCTGATCACCAGCTTGAAGTTTGAACCCCAATATCAGTCATGTGAGAGTTGGTTGATTGATTGACACTCCTGTGTTGATGTGAGAACTTCCCAGCTGGTTGATCATCAGAAGTGATGGCTAACACTCAATAGTTGGTGGGCAAAAACATGTTCACTGAGGTGGGTTGGTGCTGAAGGACTAAAGAGAGGTAAAAATGGTTCTCCTGATCTGTTTTGTGGGGCTCGTTCTCTAGGGTTATAAAACAGAGAATCTCTCTCTAGATTCATTAAAATAATTCCAAAATCACAGTGTGGGAAAATACTGGTCTAAACCAAACAGATTCTTGAGAAGAAGTCGTCTCTTGAGCAATTCCTTAGACATGCAATACCCACAGAGATTGAGGGGAGAGAGCTTTCACTCATTGCTTATGGGCAAGGGCGGCATACAATAAAAAATAATTTTATTTTTTTTTTTTCTTATCAGTATATTCCCTTTAGGTGATCCCCATGTTATTTTTCCTTCCTTTCTTTTTTAACAAGTGCAGAATTAAATTTAACCAAGGCAGTGACAACCGCTACGATGCTGGAGCTGAAAGGGAAAGATACTGTTTAAGTAAGTCACAGCAGGCTGTAATGAGATTACGTTTGGAGACATGGTTATTGGGAAGGCAACGGAGGTATCTCTGAGTAACATGGATGCATTTTGTACCCACAAAACCCATGAAGGATGTGGTTATAGCTATGTCTCCAGTAACTGGAAAGCACCAGTGTAATTGCTCAACAGAAATCCAAGACTCAGATTAAAATCATTTTTTCTCCTTGCAGGCTGTGAGCCCATTCCTGTCCGTTACCCAGAGTGGAGTGACATAGAATCTATCATAGCCATCGCCTTCTCTTGCCTGGGCATCCTCGTGACTCTGTTTGTCACCCTCATCTTTGTGCTGTACCGGGACACACCTGTGGTCAAATCCTCCAGCAGAGAGCTCTGCTATATCATTCTGGCTGGCATCTTCCTGGGCTACGTGTGCCCTTTCACCCTTATCGCCAAACCCACCACCACATCCTGCTACCTCCAGCGCCTCCTGGTCGGCCTCGTCTGCCATGTGCTACTCTGCTTTAGTCACCAAAACCAACCGTATTGCACGCATCCTGGCCGGCAGCAAAAAGAAGATCTGTACCCGGAAGCCTAGGTTCATGAGCGCTTGGGCCCAGGTGATCATCGCCTCCATTCTGATTAGTGTCCAGCTGACACTGGTGGTGACCTTGATTATCATGGAGCCTCCCATGCCCATTTTGTCCTACCCGAGTATCAAGGAAGTCTACCTTATCTGCAATACCAGCAACTTGGGTGTAGTGGCCCCTGTGGGCTACAACGGACTTCTCATCATGAGCTGTACCTACTATGCCTTCAAGACCCGCAATGTGCCGGCCAACTTCAATGAGGCTAAATACATCGCCTTCACCATGTACACTACCTGCATCATCTGGCTGGCTTTCGTGCCCATTTACTTTGGGAGCAACTACAAGATCATCACTACCTGCTTCGCAGTGAGCCTCAGTGTGACGGTGGCCCTGGGGTGCATGTTCACTCCCAAGATGTACATCATTATTGCCAAGCCCGAGAGGAATGTCCGCAGTGCCTTCACCACCTCCGATGTAGTCCGCATGCACGTTGGTGATGGCAAGCTGCCCTGCCGCTCCAACACCTTCCTCAACATTTTCCGGAGAAAGAAGCCGGGGGCAGGAAATGCCAAGTGAGTTGTCAGAACTCTCTCTCTCCCTCTCCCTCTCCCTCTCCCTCTCCCTCTCCCTCTCCCTCTCCCTCTCCCTCTCCCTCTCCCTCTCCCTCTCCCTCTCCCTCTCCCTCTCCCTCTCCCTCTCCCTCTCCCTCTCCCTCTCCCTCTCCCTCTCCCTCTCCCTCTCCCTCTCCCTCCCCCCTCCCCCTCCCCCCCCCCCCCTCTCTCTCCCTCTCTCTCTCTCTCTCTTCCTTCCTCCCCTCCTCTCTCCCTCCTCCTCTCTTTCTCCCTGCCTCCTTCTCTCCCGCTATTAGCAGATCTCTGTTTCTGAAAGTTTTCAAATCTCACCGTTGGAATAGGGATATAAACGAAAAAAGTGCTTCTGCTTTTCGTTGCTTTGCAACAGCCAGAATCATGGAGCAATGCTGACCACAGCACATCATTTTTTTTTTTTTTCTAGAGGTCCAAACTACAGTTCTGTCAGCAACATCTTTGCTGTTATGTAGGTTCCCAGTCTGTAGGGAATCAATATGGACAGGTCCTGGGTCAGAGAGGCAAACAGCAGTTCTAAGTGAAAGTTTAGATCGAGGTTGAAGATAATGTCCAATTTATTTTTATTCTGAGAACACACTTTTAGCAATCTGAGGGAGCTCACCCTGGGGAGAGCTCCATTTCAAAATTGGTTTGCAATGGAGCATAGAGCAAGTTCTGTTATGATGTCCCCGAAGCATCTGCCTTATCCTACATCCCTTATTTATTAAACTTTAACACATATTGTAATGAACATGTTCCAGTGTTCCACATGAACTGGGGTGTCTTCTCATTGTAATGAAAAGAGTAGGTTTTTAGTCCAGTGAATAAGGAGCCCCAAACTTGAACATCAAAGTACAAATCATTTGTATTCTAGTAATTCTGGGTAATTAATTTTCCATGTAAATGTTTCACTGATTTTATTAAATATACCATATTTCAGAGACTTATGAAAACATATTTCATGCAGTATTTATAATTTTAAAAGGTGACATGGGCAGGGCAGTGATGATTTACACCTTTAATGGCAGCACTCAGGAAGCAGAGGCAGATGGGTCTCCGTGAGTTTGAGGCCAGCCTGGTCTACAGAGTGAATTTCAGGACAGCCAGGGTGACACAGAGAAACCCTGTCTTAAAAAAACAAACAATCAAAAATTTAAAAAATGACATAGATGCACCATTATCAGGCTTAAGTGTGCTCTTTGGGATGCTCCTAAAAATAAATGTTGCATCATATATGGCATTTTATAACCACCACATTCACGTAAGTCGACTAACAGGTAAGAGGATGTCGCTTTCCTCCCCTGTAGCTAAGGAAATGAACTTGCTACAAATTTCTGTAACTTTTAAGTGTAAATCCCTTTAGCCTGTTTTAAATTGGTATAAAATTTATCTTAACATATATCTAAAACTCTATATGCATAAAGTTCTTTATTTTTAAAGCCACACCTGGACTTCTTACAGAAATTATAACCTGTGTCTGTGATGCAAAATTTAGGGGGGAACCTATGAAATTCATAGTCATTAACTCAAATGAAAACATTCCTAACCCTTAGCAGCATTAGAACAGAGCCAACAATTCATGCTTATTTCTCATTTCAAGCCCGTGATGATCTCCTGGTCATAAAAGGTGCCTAGTAATGTTTTTCTACTTGTCATGATCTTTCTTCTAGCCAGTGTCCCGTCGACAGCGACTTCCCAATAGTTCTTAGCATGACAACAAAATATAAGTCTATTGCATGAGCAAAGAGGTGACAGAAAGGAAAATATCAGGGGAAGGAAGACACCCTTGAAGCTAGGGAGGTAGGTGGCTTAGTGGTTAAGAAGACTTGTTGCACAAGCATGGCAGCCTGAGTTTAAAACAAAACAAACAAAAACCCCCAGCACTTGTAAAAAGCCAAGAATGTCTGAGCACCTGTAAGCCCAGGGCTGGATGATGGAGAGAGGCATAAGTAAAGGAGGATTGATAAGACTTTCCAGCTTCCAGCCCTGCTCCAGCATCAGTGATAGATCCCAACAAGGGTATAAGGCATGGAATACTAGAGCAGGGTGCTAAACATCCTTCTCCACTCTTCTGGTTCCCCTCATACTCTCACAGGCTTGAGTACCCCTTATACAGCTGTTTACATGCCAAACACACTCACATAGTCACATTCACACGCATAAATGGACATACACATACATAGACACACATGCACACACTGGGAGGGCACTTTAAACTGGAACGTCCACAGGCAGTAAGTCATAAGGATTCCTTTCTTCTACCACCCAGCTTCATGTCTCTGCATTTATTTTACGGCCTAAGGAAATGTCATGGTTTTTGGTCATGCAGCATTTCTCAAAGTTATTATTCTGAGAATCTATGGGATTGAAATATCTCATGGTGATGTCCAGGAATGTGATTTCCTGTGGATATATGGTAATGCTGTGCAAGAGAACTGTGAGTAATGAGTCTTATGCTTGTTGCTGGGGTGCAAAAGGGCTCTGTGGCGTTATATGAGTGATGCCTGGCACTTTACGATCAGCCAGGATCACTGATGAGTCTTATGCTTGTTGCTGGGGTGAAAAAGGGATCTGTGGCATTATATAAGTGATGCCTGGCACTTTACGATCAGCCAGAATCACTGTGTGTTTGGACCAGACTTCCACGCCCAAAGTGCTTTTCCTATAATTTGAGAAGACTCTTTTCCCAATCATGAATTTAGAAATTAATCTCATTTTTATTCAAAGGAGAGTTTGATGTAATCTAAGCTGATTCGGTTTTCCTGGAAGAGGTACTTTCACCAGTGAACTATTAGCTACAAACTATCAAGTGTTATCCGAGGGCTTTGTTGATAAATTTAGTTCTAATTAATAATAATAACTCACAGCTTTCTTAGCATAATTTGTAGCTTCTTCAATATGTTCCATGCAAATGAGTTGACCCACAGTGGGTAACTTGGGCTATGTTGCTGTGAAAACAATACTTTGATTATTAATTTTTTCCCTTTATTCTCTTCTTGCTTCTGTTGTAAGTCTCCACAAGACTGTAATTTTAAACCATAACAATAACCTCAGTGCCTATGTGTTTTTGCCTTTTTTTATTGCCATTTTCCTTGGTTTGTCTCCAAAGTTACAAAACCATAAACAGTCTAATATATTCTGCAGCAACAACAACAACAACAAAAAAAAACTGGCAGTTTTGCAACTAAAGAAAGGGGTTGAAAACTCTCGCTAATGTGTCACCCTATGAGTTTATTGCCACTCTGAACCTGCAGTTCCTACATTTATGGCTGGCTGAGGGTGTCTGGCAGTCTGGTTCAGCCACCATAACGAACAGCTTCCACCTGGTATATGGTTGTTTTGGGGGGACACAAGTCCAGAGACATTCTATTAGCAGCCTGTTCCTGCAAATACACAAGAGAGATCATGGCACATGGTTGATTTTTGGCAAGTTTATTTAAATACTTTTAATTTTAGTCATAGTCAAATGTCTGATAGAAGTGACATTTGGATTGCTCGCTATGCATTTTCTGGAAGAAAACTTAGAGAGGTTTAACCAATACATTTTACATACCGGTTTAGCTATTCAGTCCTGTGTCTCTTTATATTTTAGTTTTTGTTGCAAGTCTTTGAGGCATAACCTAACTTTAAAGGCCAACTAAAGTGTATTTGCCTTTTATACTCTCCTCTGAGCTGTGTCCTACAGATTTATTTAGTCAGAAAGTATTTTTAATCCTAAGCTAATATAAAAGGTATCAGAAGTTTTCCTCCCTTTTTTTCACCAAAAAGTCATTGTTTGAACACAAATTAAGAATGACTTTCTGTTGAGGCAAAAATGATTTGACATTACTTCACTAAAGGAGTAAAGCCACGAGGTAAATGGCATACTTATTTTAAAACAATTATGCTAATAGCACTGTTCAGTTATTTTTTTAAATACACTAAAATTAACAAAGTATCTTAGGTTTGCATACAACCGATTTTTTTTAAAGGCATTTTTTCAATTGAGGGTTCCCTCCTCTCTGATGACTATACTTTGTGTCAAGTTAATATAAAGTAACTAGCACATACGACACTAGCTGAAGATAAAATGAAGGTCAGTTTGGCAGTTCATGGAGCTGAAAAGTTACAACACACCTCTGGGCTTTTGCATTTACATAATTGGGCATAAAATGAACTACAACCACAAGAAAAGTATGGAGCTGATACATGAGTAATATTAGCGCAGATTTTCTTATACAAGCTGATTTTTACGTTTGATGCAATGTTTTCCAAGCATTCACATATTTTTGTTTGTTTGGGGTGTTTGTTTTTTTCCAAGTTTGAGAGCCAATTAAAGTACTGCATGGACCAATGCTATGAGAATATCCCTCCTCTTTTCACTCCTGTGATGGTTAGTTTTGATTGACAACTTAACACAACATATAAACTCTCTGGAAGAGAGTCTCCATGAGGAGTTGTCTTAATTGGGTTGGAATGTGAATGATTTCCTTGACTGGGTAAGTAGATTGGGATAACCCACTCTGAGTGTGGAATTTACAATGTGTGGTCACCAGAGTGACCACTGGCTCAAGAGCAAGGAGCAGGAGTGATCCCAGGAGAGATGAGGATGAAAACACCACATCCTTGCCTTATTTTTCTTTTCTAGCAAAGGGCATATTGAATACTCAAATGGCACACAAATAGCTACTTTTAATATTCACTTTTTTTTATTTTGAGTTTTATAATGACACAATGAGCAGATTATACCATGACTTTAAGCAGAGGATAATCCAATTTGAATACAGGTCACCTTTATAATTCTTTTCACATTTAAATGAACTTGTGTGATTGAGACATTCACCTTCCCCAGTGTAAGACCTTGGGCTCGTTTGCCTTGGGCTCATTTGTCAGCAATATATATGGCCTAAAATTAACTTAGAAACAGGCTCATGAGATTACTTGCAATGGTCCAAGATAGGCACATTTATAATACCACGTTGCAAACAAGGAACAGGCTTGGAAAGGTCA